AAACTTAAAGCTAAATGGGCACAGCGCGCGCGGGAAAATGCAAGCGCCCAAAAAATCCATTTATTGCAAGTCCAAAAAGGGATGAGGTCGAGGAGAGGACAGTGGCCTCTGCACAGTGGGGTCTGCTTGTGGGGCGTCACTCGATGGTTGATTCGATTTTAAGCGAAGCGAAGCCCCATATTAAATGACGAATCGGTAAAGAAAACGCAACAGAATGGATGGAGAGAGAAACGAGATACAGAGAAAAGAGTGGGTTAAATGACTGTTGAATGAGGGACGGGGCGCATGTGGAGGGTTAACCTCAATTCGTAACATTGATTGGAGGCTGATTGGAATGACTGAATGACTAAAAGAACGGAATGCCAAAGGGAAGGTTAATAAAATAAATATTCCATGACACTTACTTATGATGTTGATCCTTAAGGAAGGAGTAAAAGCAGATAAAAGCCGAAGCTGAAGCTAAGCAGCAACGAAAAAAAAACAACGAAATACGTTTGGATTCGATTCGATCCATTTCATTTTTATTTATTTTCTACACACGTCCATGAGCTTCGATCTCGCTCTTTCTCCCTCTCTCTTTATCTATCACTCCCTCTCTGCGCACTCTCTTTTCACCTTTCATGTGTGTGGTTTTTGACAGTTGAATGAACCCCACGCTACGAACATTTATTATAAAAAAAAAAAAACAAACAAAAACTAAATAAAAGCTATAAGCAAAAGACAGAGATAGCGGTAGAGAAGGCACACAGCAGACAGAGAGAGAGTGAGACAGGAAAGAGATAAACGAAGAGCAAACCACACACACACACACGCAAACAACAAACACACGTCGATAGAGAGAACGGTAGGCGGGAGAGGAAGAGTAGACCTCACCAGTCAAGCCACAAAAAGTAATTTTGTATTGTAGCTAGAAAGACAGAAAAAAACACACAGAAGAAGAAGAAGAGGAGGAAGATGCAGCAGAAAAACAACATCAGAAACAGAAACTGCGTGCAGCAGCACCAGCCAACACAACAGTGTGTGAGATAGAGTGAGAGAGGGATATACAGATAAGGGGAGCAGTGGAACGGTAGACGCGGCAGGCAGACCAGACAGTAAATGAAGTTTACGTGAAGTTGGCAGGCAGCGACCCCCTTCCCGCACCCAATTCCACATCCATTGGGCCATGTTCCGCTTACCAACACTGTCCCTTTCCCCTCTTTTTTTGCCAAACAATTGCAGCAGAGTCAACATTGATTGTTGTTGCTTTTATTGGTTTCCTCTTCCACTGTGTTTTATGTTTTTTTTTTTTGTTGAGCTTTTATTTATTTTTTGTATTATTCAAAAGATACGAAACAAATGCAACTTTGCATGCGGTGCGGAACATTAGATACAGATAAATATTGGGAATTGAAGAAAGAGAACGAACTCCTAGAACCAGCATCTTTCTTTTCTCTTCCAAAGAGCCTCCCTCTCTTCAGTGCCCTAAAATCTCTTTTGTTGTGTGTGTTTGTCGTGCGATGTTGCCAGTTTTCAGTCTTCATTCTTTGCCCTGCATTTTCCACTCTCCTCTTTTTCGAGTTCGTTCCATTCTTTGGGTTTATTGTAGATTAGAGATCTATGGGAACAGCAATTTTCGAGTTTTTCTACATCTATTTTGGTTTCAGTGTTCGCTGCATTTGAACTTTTATCTTATCCCATTGCAGTCCCCCCCATCTCTATTTCTCCCTGAACATATCTAAATTTAAGTTTAAATTCTCTAAACATTCGAATAATATTTTACAGCAGGTCGGGTCGGCCCCATACATCCCACAGCACAGCACAGCACCGCACACCTCCCCCACATAGAATCCCTCTCCCATCATCATTATCTTTTTGTGTAAGTTTCTCCTTGTTCTTTTTCCACCAATTTATTCATCTATTTCTGTGTCTCTTTTCTGTGTATGTTGTATTTATGGCATTGTTTCGCTTTCGAGTTTCCGCATCATGAAAAAGTGCATCGGCAGCAACAGCGGACCTCCAAAATCCAACTATTTTCGTATCTCACAGACACACAGAGACACAAAGGCAATTGCTGTATGGCTTCGATGGATAGAGCATCTATGGATGCGACGATGGGGCAGGCAGCGTGGCAGTGATGGTATGCACTTTTCTATTTGCTGTTGAGTGATGCAAAGAAAACTAGAAATTTTCCTCAATATTTTTTTCATTTCATGATCCCAAAGTAAGCATTAAAATGAGGAAAACTTTTGTTTAGAAATACATCTAAAGTGTTTCCCTCAAGAGCAATGTCCTACCCCTTATTCCATTTACTTTCCTTGTAAATTTCCGTTCTGTTCTCCCATTAATTACATTTAATTCCACTATAAATGTTGCAAATGGGAATTAAAGTAGTAAAAACAGGGACGAAGTGAAAAATAAACAGTTTCCAACACAAAGAGGAATGACAAAAAATAGGATGCATAGATGGTATTAGCACAACAGACTTTATTAATGCAATAAACATTGCAAGGCAACCTTATTTTTACAAGTTTTTATATATTAATATTAGGAGGTACGTGTATGCAGATCTGCACATACACACACATATGCATATGTTTGATATGCATACTATCAAAAGCTTCCATAGGGAAGGAAAAGATGGAGCAACCACTAACGCAGAGTCAATGCTTTAGAGATGGAAGCAGCACCAAAGGACGGAGAAGGCGCTGAGCGAAAGGCTAAATTTTGGGTACAGAGGCGTTGCCTACCCTTAAATGGCATTTAACATAAAGCTAAAGTTTGTGGAGTTTGAATGAAATCTGTCAACCAATCGTTTCTGCATGGAAACGATGGACACAAAATAGTAACCATTTATGATCAAAGACGAAATCTGCTTAAAATCATCATTCCATCTCTGTTAAAAGGGTATCCATGAAGGCGAAATAAAGTGGGAAGCAAAAGCTGCGGTGCTCAATGTGGTCTGCCTGCACGTCTCTCCATGCCGCTTTAGTGCATGCATGTTGACTGCGCCGCCTAAAGCGGCCGTTGTCTCTTGCAGATTTTTTTTCTTTTAATTTTACTGTGTCGGAGTGTGAGTGTGTCTGTTGTGTATCCAATGCAGCAGCAGTGCCGCAACAACAAACAGAAAACAATTATTTTTGTTTAGTTTGCCCACGTTTTTTCCCTGAGTCTCTTTCTCTCTCTCTCTCTCTGTACACCCACTTAATTTTCCGTCTTCTTTTGTGTGGATTTCTCTTTTGGCACTTACTTCTTTTTCCCAACTGAAAGCAGTCGAAGAGGAAAAGAGAAATTAATTCTGGAGACGAATTCAACCCTCTCTTTCTCACTATGCAAAAAGCATAAAAGAAAAAACAATTGCAACTGTTAATTGACAGTTCCACTGTGCATGTGTGCCTGTGCCAATGGTCTGTGTGTGTGGATGGTGGATTGTGTGTGGACTGTGGCCAGGTCGGGGACTCAATGGGCAAATGGCACGCATTAGGTATGTCAGTGGTTTAGATACCAGCACGAAAAGCACGAGCACATGAAAGGATCTTCACATACACTATAGGAATTGATTTGAAAAATCTCAAATAATATCACTACGATATTCAGTAATTTGCAATTACTGTTATAGCTTTTGCACTATTTTCGGCTCATATTAAAAGGATATGCGGCTTCGGAAAGCTCTAGAAGACCTCATAATTTTTCACCTATCTCTGACACATATTGGTCCTATATCCATCTCCCTCTTCCACTCCCACTGTTCTCATATAGATATCTTGCCATGGATGTGTTAGTCTCTCTCTGTGTGTGTGTGTTGGCGATCTTGGCATCAAGTCTAACTAGTTGGCCATAATTGGTTTTTGGTCTTTGGCTTGTAATAAAACAAAAACCAAAACAAATAAATGAAAGACCGGGCTCTAACTTTGGTATTTTTGCTGCACGAGTGTCCAAGTTTGTTTGTGTGAGTGTGTGCGTACAACTTTTTGGTTCTTTTAATTGGATTTTATAGACTGCCACCGACAGACAGCATACATTACTTTTGATGGCAGGCAACAACGACATAGCGACAGGCAACAAGCGACAGGAAAAACAGAGAAAAACACACATTGTCGACAGTAGAAGGGAAATGCATGTAAATGTTTTAGATTCTTATTGGCTTTGCCGCCGAAAGGCTAATGGAGGAAAATGTCGCCAACTAAATTGAGAGATTAAATTTCCTCTCCTTCGAATAAAAGGATTTTGTTAAGTGACAGAAAATGCCTTCAGCTCCGAAGTTTCGAAGGAAATTGAGTTATAAAAAGGACATAAAAGGAAAGGATATATTCTCACATTCTCAATAAGGCAATAGGAAAATAAGAATACAATTTCTTAAAAACTTCCAGAAATCGTTTAAAAATTCGGAAAGTATTTTCTTTTCATTAACTTATTGTTGCAGTAAGGAAAATCCTATTATGTAGATTTCAAGTTATAGAAAACGGGTTGATTGCAATTTTCTACATTTTAATACATAGTTTCATGAAATTAAAGAAGTTCCACACGTGCTTAAATTACATAAAAGAGTTGTTACACATTTCCACCCTTGTCAATGCCCACTGTAATCCAACACACGCGCTCATTGCTCTTTAACCACAACCGAATGTTGTGCAATTAAAGTGGCCCAAATCCCACAAATTTCCGGCCTTATAGGCCGCAAAGCGATAAGTAAATAAAGAAAATAAACAGACACATTTACATTTGTACATTTCCGCTCTTATCAAAAAGCATAATGGGAGGGTGGGTGTAAGGGGTGTCGTGGGGGCCTCTCCCATCATCATTGTAACCGCAACCCATTTCCGCTCGAGGCTGTGCTGCACACACACACTCTCTCACAGAGTTGCTCAATAAATTTAAGAATTGAAGAGGAAAAATGTAATAAGAAACGGTAGTATGGAATGCAAAGAAGCGCAAAAGGAATAATTACAAAAACAAGAAAAGGGCGCGCACTGCACTGCCTCTTCTCGTCTGTTTGTTGTTGCTGTTGGATTTTTACTCACATTTTTTGCGCAGTCAGCGCTCTGTCGGCTGCTGCTACTTCTGTCCCTTTTTTGCTGTTATTTCTCTGCCGGCGGCTCAGCTGCTGCTCCTCTGCACAGCTCTGTTCTCAACCTCCCTTTTCGCTGCTGCTTCTTTGCCGGCTCCGAAATGCTATTCCTCTGCTTTGGCTGTGGCTGCTGCTTATCTGCCTTTGGCCTACCTTCTCACTTCTTCCTATTGCTGCTGCTGTTTTTTTTTTATATTTTCTTATGGCTGCTTCTTCGACTGTTGGCCGACGCCTCTCAAACTCTTCGTTCAATCTTTTAAAAGTTGTTGGATCCTATTCCATTCGTTGTAATTTGTGGATTCCGCTTAATACACTTTTTATTTTTGGCGGCACGCAAGTTGTAAAAACATGCCACATGCAAAATTAGAGGGGGTTGTGTGGGGGAAGGAGTGTAGTGTTGTTTTGCTGAAACCGCCAGTTCACTTATTAGACACTATAATTAACTTTATTATTTATAAACTATGTATATTTTTTCGTTGTTTTAAGCGCTGTAATAAATGCGAAATAATTGATTAAATTCTTTAATATATTGCTCTTCTTTTATCTTTAAATTTGATTTCTGCTGCTTCTTCTCAGACAGACACGAACACACACTCAAATGCACTCTCTGCTGCTGATTCTCACACACACACATATATAAACTCTTAACGACAGTGGCGGCGGCAGCTTCTTCTTCTTGCACTTCTTCTCTCTCTTCTCTTTCTGCTTTGCTTGGCTCTTCTTTTTTACATATATATATATATATATATACTCTTTTTCTTTGCTGCAATTTAAGCATTTGTTTCACACACACACAGAAGCAGGCAAAGCACTTTTTATATAAATATGTATCGCGCACATAAATATATATATATAAGCACGTACATATATATGTGTGGGCACTGATTTGCCGACTCTTTCACGCCGACTGGCGCGCGTGCACACACCAACACCTCAGCAACACACTCACGTAATTATTTCGCTTATTCTAATATATATTTTGTAGTTATCAAACTGTATGCACTCGCACTCGCGTTTGCACTTTGTTGCCTTTATTTTTACGAATTTATTGTATAAGTATAGAAACGAAGCGTTTTACTCTCGCCCCGAACAAAATGGTACACACCAACACACGCGAACGACGACGAGCGGCGAACACTTTTCTGAATTCAGAAAAATATTATTTCTATTTATTTTCCGCGGCGTCCACACTCACAGCAGAGTGTGACTGTGTGAGTGTGAATTATCGATAAAATATACAGTGTGACCCTCAAACATGGCAAAAAACCAACGTAACCCACTTAAGCCCCCTCTATTTAAATAGGCTAACAACTTGAGTAATCTGTGCAAAATGATATTGTTCGTAAATGTATCTTGCCAATCTATTCCTTTTTCTTTGATTTTAAAATTATTTTACCATGAGATTTCTTACATAAAATGCTTAAAAAGTGTTTCAAGTTTCAAAATAATCGCGACCAAATTAAAACACCCACTGGTCGACAGTGGGTTAATCCCTTTCTCTATTTCTCGATTTTGATATTCTGTTTCAGGTTACTAGCAAGCTCGGACTCTCAGCCTTGCAACTATAGTTTTATCCAATTGCTGAATGAATTGCACTCAAGATAGTTTAGTTTTCAGAACTTCCTTTTAATGGATAGGTAAAAAAAAACAATTAGGGCATAAAACTTAAGTGGGAATATCTATAATATCCTTTCCAAGTACATAAATGTATACATATTTATGTATATCTCGAGCTCGATTCATTCTCGGGATATACATACGTCTATAATACGATGCCTGCTACGTAAACTTTGGCGGCTTAATTTCTTTTAACAATATTCTCCAGGAAGATGAAATCCCATTCCTAATGTTAATTAGGGCTTAATCAGACATTTTCGACGTTAAAAAACCCCCAGTGCTGATTTTTTTAGATGGTTTGGTAATAAAAAGTATTGGGTGGGAAAAGTGTGGTATTACAGCCGTACTCAGCTAAATTTGCTGTCGACAGAAAGTGCCATAAAGTTCTTTCGTTGGCCAGTGTGACCAAAGTGGGCAAAGAGCGGATGTATGTGTTTGTTTAGAAAATTACATTTCCGCATTATTGGATATTTGATCTGAGTACTCAACTGAGAAAAGCTGACACAAAACAAATGTCGACCGAAAATTTGGTTCATATGAGTACTGGGCTTGAAAGGTAAACATGTAGTTATCGATATCGATGTAAAATGTAACTTTCGATATCGATGTATAATTTGTATTATTAATGTAGTTATCAATGTAAAAAAACACATATTTTCATCGCATCGGGTGTATTTCATGAATAATATTTTTAATTTAGTTGTGTTGCTGTTTTTAATGTATGGTTCGTGATAGGTGCAAAATGATCAAAATTGATAAATATTTTGGGCAGAGAGTACTTGAAATTTTCTAAAATCCAGATTGAAGACAAGATATCCAAGTAATTAAATAGAAAATAATGGGCCATGTTTTTTTTCTCATTTACGATTTATTGTATTTTCAATCAAACGGGCGCTTATACGCAAAAATGAGTTGTTAGAGTGCGATTTGGGGGAGATTGTTTTAGTATTTTTGAAAAATAGGTTAGACCTTTAATACAGAAAAATACTAAGATATGCCAAAAAGACATACATATATACACATAAATACCAGGGCTGACACTCAATAGGCGCTCAATTCGAAATCATATTATATTTAGGTTTGCAAAATTGTTTTGTGTGTTTTTTTCATTAAACTTCAAGTAATGTTGCAGTTAAGCGTATCCTTGCGGGTATGTACCAAGAATATGAATAGGAATCGAGATATATTTACATATGTGTATGAAGAAATCGAATTAGATGCGTGAATAGAAACAAAAGTGATTAAGACTTAGGTTTCAAAGCACCTTACATAACATAATTTTAACTTTAATATAATAAATAGGGTTTCCAGGTTTCCATGCACTCACAAACAAGTCGGCTAGATGTGGAAATTGTGTAGATACTGTGTATTTTACACATTTAGGTGGACATTTTTGCTTAAGCTCTGTTTATAATCCATTGGACTAATATGATTCCATAACATTAGTCAGTCCTGTAACAAATAGATTCACCAATCGGATAAAGTTATAAGTTCCAGTGGTAAGAGTCCCAAGTAGCTTGTAATATTAAAAGGAATATCACAATAGAGGAATATGGTTTTCCTTTTTAGGATTTTTGAAAATGCGACTAGTGGTATATAAGTCTTTGCAAGTAGAACATCAAAATCGAGAAAAATGTGCTAAGATTTACGATATATGTAAGTCTGCACTTATATTTTTGTTGGTATATTTCTGTGGGATTTCTGTGCTCATATCGAGACGCAAAAATGAGGACAGAGAAGAGAGGATCTTCTGACATAATCGTCTCTTTGGTATGTGACCGCAAGGTATGTTAAGGTTAGCAGGTAAAAAAGGACTTTTCGAAGCTCCCACCTTTTTCGCACCTGTTGAAACGATCCCTAATAGTGCATGCGAGAGCTTCTGGCAGGAGAGGATTTCCCTGGGGAGTTTCCATCACGTTCCATCGACGGTGTAATTTACCTGGAGCCACTGGAATTTTTGTGACGTATTTACCTTTGGTCGACACCTTATTTTTTGGTACAAATTTCGCAGCATGAAAGCTCCCTTGGTTTGCTAAGGGAGTTTTAAAACTCTTTTCGAGGGGAGTTTGAACAACTAATGAGAACAACTAAATATTAAATAAAATATAGTAAGGTGATGGTTGGTAAATGAAATAATAACTATAATTTATAATTTATAATCATTGCATAAAACCTGGAAAAATTCAAGACGGGGCGTAATTACACCTGCATGTGGGTAATAGATAAGAACGTGCCGAGCCCTGGACTGGAGGGACTTTAAAATCGATCTGTACCAAAAGCGATGGTATAAGGAGGTCCACTAGTTGTAGCCAATATCGGTTTGGTGGTAAGAGTCTATCAGACAGAGTACCAGTTCAGATTTCTAATGGCGAATGTGAAAACTTCTTTTGAACGGATTCAATAAGAACAGTGTTTTAGTTACATACGGATCGTCAAAAGCAAAGACTCCCTTAGCTTGGTTAACCGTTGAAGCAAAATTAATATCAATAGCTTGTGATCAAAGAGGACTCCTAAGTCATTTGATGTGGTGAGATAAGAGCTTAGATGTAGTTTGACATCATACGGTGTGGCTTTTGATATATGTGAGACGAGGGGCAAAGATTGTTTTCGGGAGACCACTGCTATGAGTGCCTAAAAGTCTCTCAGTCTGCGGGAGCTGAGGAGCTAGAAGAGGCTGCTGTTTCATCCCCATTCAATGTAACAGAAACCGGACAATCATTTGAAACTGGATGCTGGATGCTGAGTCTGAAGTTAGATTGATTGGATTTTGATTGGGGTATGGATTTATTTATTATTTTGTACCATGTTGTTGGAGCCTCCGACGAGGTTGGAGCCTCCGACGGCGGATGGACAGCCGTCGGTGAAGGTTGCCCTCTAGGAGTAGAAAATGAGTTCATCTGTTGTAGGAGAGAGTATATACAAATAAAAGAAAAGAAATAAAATCAAAGAAATCAGTTAATCATTTTTTGTCATTATCCGGTGTATCAAAAGAATGGATTAATTACAATGTATAAACCGGAGTCTAGCCCCAATTATATTGTAAAGATAGGAAAACTGCCCCCCAAACCACTGCGAGCTTATTAAAATATTTACTTATGATGCCTTTCCCTTTCAGGAAACAATTGAGTTTATCTCTTTTGTTGTGCGCACTTTTTTTCAAATTTTAAGATGCAAAGGGCATATCTTGGTATATTTTTAAGAGCCGGTCGGGCGATAATCTCTCGGGCACACTGAACGCTAAAATTATAAACTATAAAAGAAGGTCGGTAGGTATTTTGAAAATGAGGTGGTATATTTCGGTATATTTCCGACGGTCAGATGGTATGTTCCTTCGATAGACCCGCGGTCACACTGCCTTTGGCAGTAAAAACGTAAATATGTTTTAAATTTAGTTGTGGCCCACTGTTCGTTCCGTTTCGCGCATAAATAATAGTCGTCTAAGAGAAAGTAAAGTGCAAGCAACTAAATGAATTAATGATTTAAGAGCAAGAACCGCGAGAGTCGCGCAAACGAGAAGAGGAAAACCAGTTTTACCACCGTGCAATGCGCAGAGCCACAGCTAAAGAGAAACGGGCCCAAAGGAGGTGCTAAAGCAGGAAAAAATCTAGCGAAAAAAAGTTAAATTGTTGTTAACGCACACCAATACAGATCTCTCGCGGCATCTGTGGGTGTGCTCTTGTGCTCGTGTCAGTGTGCATTTGTTATTGTTAGTGCAGAGAGGAGGAAGAGTGAAAAGAGGCATAAAAAAAGGGCGTCGCAGTTTGCAGCAGCAGCCAAAAACTACACACGAAAGAGGTGTAGAGGAGAGGAAGAAAAACGAGAGAGTGGAAAAAGCGGTAAAGCGTTGGGTAGCTGCAACGAGCGCTTCAAAGGTGAGTGCGTGCCGAATATTGTTTATAGTTTCTTATTTAAGAGAGCGTTATGTGCATGCATATGTGCCCACATATGTATATGTATATCTCGGACCAAACCATAAAGGAAGAACAACTAAAACCACACCCACACATACTATCATTGTCCGAACAGTGAAAACACACGAACGTACCTGCCAACCCACGTATGCTTGGGTGTGTGTGTGTTATGGTTGACCAGGAGCGGGTTTCGGTCCAAGGGTAAAAGCACGTTTTGAGTGCCCTTCCCCCCTATGGATAGAGGAAAAGCAGAATAAAACAATCAATCATTTGTATTTCCGTTCCTGGACGTGTTTGTCCAGAGGCGAATTTGGATTTGGGCCGTGGTCCATGCCTCGAATGGCTTGCAGCACGTTTTGAAAGATTGCTTCATCTTCCCCCTATTCAAAAACTACAACGCTCCTGGATATCAAATGATCGACAGGGGCCTTGCCCAGCGGCGGTTTCTTCCATTCAGGTAGAAGGGAAATGTTGGTGCCCTATAAGAAAGAAAAGAGACTCAAATGTATAATCAATCAGCAATGTGATGGGAAAAAAGGGAAGCAGCACCCATAAAGAGAGTTGAATCGATGCTAATTGATGAAACATACGTTTATTTATTCTCCCTACCCTCATCTCACTGTGTCCGCTCCTGGCAATTGACACGGATGGCAAAGCTTTCGCTACTGCTGCTGCTGCTGCTGCTGCAGCGGGGCGACTGCACTTTGATTGCTATTTGTATGTTACTCTCTTCCCCCTCTGCATTCCATTGTGATATTCCGCTCCCCACACCATCAGCATGGCACAATTAAAGTTAATAACAACTTCAATTCAATTCATAATAATAATAGAGAGAAAATGCGTTTTGTGGCATGTTAACAGCAACAATAACAAATCAGAGAAGAGAGCCGCCTATGGAAACGAAAACACACACTCTCTTTCTCTCTCTCTATCCCGCTTGCAATCTCTTTTTCCACTCTCTCTGTTCAGCAAGTGCAGTTCCTCTTAAAGCCAAGTTGTCTTTTCTTTTGATTACTGCTTCTTCCTGTTTCGTTGGCATACCCTGTTGCAGAGATTCAATAAACATACCCATGATAGTGAACACTTCGAACAGATACTTCCCACACAGATAAACTCGAAACTCTTAAAATGATATTTGCTATACATTTCTAAAAAATCATAACTATTTAATTGTTACCATAGGCGCTGTCAACAGGGGCTGGGCTGTCAACAGGGTATCCCATTGTCGACAGGCACTTAACTATTGAGCATTATCTCCCTCTTTTTGTTGTTGGATATTCGGCGACAGGCACGGTTGAATCTGCAGCAACAACAATTGCAATTGAATTAAATTTAACAGAAATGATAACTGTATGAATGAGTGAATGAAATGAATTGTCATATTTCTCTCTTCTTTTTTTCTGTTCGCCTTTCCCACTCACACTCATGCTCATGGTAGGTAGGGGCTATGGCTATTTTTGGGGAGGAATCTCTGTGTTTAAATTATATATTTAATTTCGTGTGCAGATCCCCCAAGCCTCCCTCCACTCTCACTAATCTCTTGGTCTCTGACAACTGATGATTTTATTTATGAGGTGGATTGGTATATACCACAGCCATACAAATGTATACTATATCCTATACATACATATGTATAACCCAAAAAGCTATAAGCACATTGTATATTTTCATTGAAAAATGCTTTGCTCTCTTATGCTAAAATTTTTGTTTAATTTGATTTTTGAAATTTGTGCCTCGTGCATTGAATAGCCTTCGGCTCTTTTCGTCTCTCTCTCCAGTCTGTATTGTCTCCCTTCCTCTCATCGAAAGTTTGTTGCCAACGGCGCCAAAAGCACTTACACACACGCAAACCCCACGCACACATTAGCGTACCTTAAGAATTTTTGGAGAGGGCGAAGACCTAAGCGTCAGGCAGGCAGCAGGTGACGTCAAAAGAGCGGCGGCTGCTAGAGTGTGGGGAGAGCGTGAGAGAGATGAATTATGGCGGGGAAAGAACGTGAGATTAGCAATTGTTACGGTGTGGGGTGTGGGAGTGGGGCCTAGAAAAATAAGAGTCATTCAATCAATCAACAGCTAGCAAATGTTTTTAAACGGCAAAAAAGAAGAGCAAGAGGAATGGCTGCCCGTATGATCTGTAGACAAGATTGACAGATTTGAAAACTTTAACCAGCATCCCTTGTAGAACGTTTCTTTCATAAAATTTTGACTTAAACAAAGATATAAATTACATTTCTTATATTTGCCAATACAACTGCTCATATTTTCTATACTTACCAAGATATACATTTATTATCACACATTTTCAATAAAGTATAAGGCAAACAGTCTGAAGAATTCAATTAAGTCATTGACTCACAGGGCTTCGTCCCCGACATGCGGGCTGACTGTGCTGTCAATCAGTAAATGATCAATATCATATTCAATCAATAATTTTCCTTGATCTTGCACCTCTTCCTCGCCTTTCTCCGCAAAACCGTTTCCATAAATTACCATTTTGTCATGTGGCCCACTTCCAGTCTCTCTTTACGGTCCCAATTTCATTTTCTGTTTCTCTTTTAGCTTCCGATTGACTCTCGAGTTTCAAGTTCCAATTCCCATTAGTCCCTCAAAATACACCGTGCACCGTAAGCCGTATCATGCATTATGCAATATAATCAGAGCATAAAATACACGCAAATTATTTGCATATTTAATTAAAACGGAACGACCAAAAAAAAAATCGTGATTTTCGTTTGCGTTTTATTTTGTTCTTGAACTTCTCGAACCTCTCGTTTTAGCATTACGTTTTGTTTTAGTTTTTCCCCAATTTCCCCGTGAATGTTGTTTTGGGCGTGTGCCCAAAAGAGAACGAGAGAATAAGAGAGGAGTGAGCAGCACACGTGCTCCTCTTAGCAACAAGAGACCCAAAACTGACGCAACCCAACAATACAAAATATTTCATTAACATTTTTGTGATATTCAGCGTGTTTTTTATGGCTTTAGTTGTGGTTGATTTGCCTACAAACAAGGCCCTTTTTTGGTCAATAATACTAATTAGTATTCCTTAAAAAGGAAACCCTTTATTAGTACCCTTTTTGCGGGACACCGTAATCGCATTTAAGGATCAATAAGTCGTAGCCCATTCTCTATCGCCGTTTAGATTACATTTTCGCATAGGAATCCTCTCTGTTTTCTTTGGGCGAAGAACCTCTCTGGTCTCTCGAATCTAGCTGCTAAACATTTTATCATCCTAATTCGATTGATTAGCCAAATGAGCTATTAGATTAGCTACTTTTTGAAGTATTTCTTTATTTAAAACAATGAAGAAAGTGCATGCCATACAATGATGATATTTTTTGTATTTTGGGTACGTACACGCCATATAAAGGTGATTTTTCTTAGTATTTTATAGGAAATTCGCGGAAGTCTTATTATAAAGTGGAATTTCCCTCAGATTAGAGTTAATTAGCACGTATATAATGTGGAATTTTTTGAGTGGAATTAGAATTGCAGATGATGTCAGAGCTAATATGAGTTTAAATGTTTCGAATTAATCTGGGATGCATGCAAAAATGAATCGATTCCAGCCATAAAGATTTTCGGGTGGTTAAGTTTTTGATATATTTCGAACCGACTAAAACTAGTAGCTTTCAGCTGCTCCCATGTAAAATGGGATTATATTTCCTTCCCTTTCTATCTACATGTCTGTCGCTGTCTATCCTCTCTCTTTTTTTCCTCTCTTTTTATTTCCACTCTTGGGGCTTCCTGCACTCTCCCTCCTTCTCTCCCATATAATGATGTCTGAATATCAAATATTAAATTATTGATTGACAGACGACAGGCAGGTCTGTTCCGCTGTCGCTGTTTCTACCCCTTTCCCTCCGCTCTTCCCTGCCTGCCCGCAAGCGAAAGGTGAAAGTGAAAACTTTTGTCCCCTCCACTCTCTTTGTTTTCTGTGCAAAAAAATAAAAACAATTGAACAATTTATGTGTAAATTTGTGCACAAACGGAAGTTGTTGAAAACTTTTGTACAACGAGTGAATGAATGAACTCAGGGGGGATTGGATTCCATCCAATCATCAGAGAGTAACAACAGTCACAACATCATCCAGCAATCCAACAATCAACTTTAGTGTTATGCTGTTTGTTAACTTTTTAAGGTCAGTGTCAAATATGTACATGGAACGTATTTGGTCATCCAATCTATCTCATGGGGGAGCACTGCTCTGGGTCACCAATTTGCTACAATATGAGTCACTTTCGCACTCGTAGTGCCGGCAGAAGGGGAAACTTTCCTAAAAACAATTTGTAGGAAGAACAAATAGAGAGAGATTTTAATGGGTTTTAAGTGTTTAGAGGGGTTGAATCACTTTGGGGGAAGTGTCGTTCTCTGGAAAGAGTATTTAATCTAGATTTAAGATGATTTTACATATGTATGTAAATAATCCAACACATGGATCGTAAATGATGTTGCTTCTAAGGAGATATTTCCTCAAGTTGCTCTTCATTTTTAAAATATACTTTATAAACGATAAACCCACACACTAATTTATTGTTATGATCAAAGGCATTGGCATTGGCCATCTTTAGGCTGTTGGTGTTACCAGTACTTCTTTTTTTGGTGCTTCAGTTTTTTTCTTGGGAGCTGCTGTCCGCCCACCAAAGGTTATTTTAATTGTTGGATTTTTTGTTGGGTGTCATACATATGTTGGCCACATCCATATTTAAATATTTGTACTTTTCATGCTAATCAAAAGTCAGCTTACTTTTCCTGCTCTTTGTTTTAATTTTTAGTGTGTAAATTATTTGAGTATTGAGAACAATTTAAATTCATCAAGCGAATACACTCATGAACAGTGAATCATTTTGAAAAAGGTAGAGTGAGGGGGGAAAGAGGTGTGAGACGGTGAAGAGGTGACTGCAAAATGAGCGGAGGTGTGTTGGGCAGCAAGCAAGTCGGCTCATGCCTCATGTGCCACACT